AAAATTTGCATATAATAGTAACTATATTTTAAAATGTACACTAAGTTTAAAAATTTTTTTTTAATATATTAAATTTGATTTGAAATTAAAACTAAAAAATGATCAAACAAAATTTATAAATTCATGAATGTAACTCAGAAATTGCAATGATCTGTAATTTGCATAAATTTTATTTATAAGTTATATTAAACACAAAATTTCAATTTGAGAAAATTTTTAGATTTTGTATCTTAACTTTGAAATTAAATTAGGCTATATATTGTAGAAATTTTTTAAACTGGATGACTTTTCAAATAATTCTGAAAAATTATTCAAAGAATTTTTAAACTATTTTGTTCAAAGAAATTGAACTATTTTAAACCCTAGTCTAAAAATTAAACTTCTGAAATTTGGGCTATTCTAAAATTTAGATTAAACAATAAGTCTATGAGAGGATAAGTATACAGCGGTTGGTTCATAACAAGCATGCAAAATGCCTTGACCGATCAGTGTAGCACAAGCTTGCCCATGTACAGTAATTGGTGAATCAAGTGGATATTGTTCAATTGGTCGACTAAATATTTTTATGCATAAGATATATGAATATCACAATCATTTAATTTTGAAAATATTCTTAAAGTACTAATTTAATTTCAATTCCAGTTACTATCTGCAACGACAAGCTATAAAAAAGTTTGATGAGTAAGTAAGAATTAACTAAAGTTAGACAGTATACATTTATCAAGTATATTTTCCATGCTATATAAAAAATGCTATAACAAAAATAATCAAAAACATTATAGAATTTGATTTAATGGACTAAGCTTAAAATTATTACTTAATTAGCTTAAAATTATTATTTAGTTAACTTATTTTCTTTAAAGAAAAATAAATTGAATGTAATAAAGCTTTATTTTTTGTACTAAGAATTATACTCATCTCATTAAAATTTATATTGTATTTTTTGCATAATGCTAAAACTTGATAATTGTCTTCAATACTTCTTACTTACTTATGATTCCTTACTTATTTACTAAAGATTCATAATAAATCTTAAATAGAGTCACCTTATGATGCTGCCAGGCATATTTAAATTATATGGTAGATAATAAAAATCTTTTTCTGTTTTTTGAAAAGCTAAATTGACCCAATTTGGAAACATAGACTCAATCGTTTCTGCGCAAGTAATTCCAATTAAAGTTAGACTTGAAGGACGATGTATCTACAATTTTTCTTACTTTGCAAATATCACTTTAAGCTAACTTAGATTTAGAATATTTTCAATCATTAATACAACTTTTTTATTTTTAAAATGTTTAATTGTCTGATGACAAAGTTATTTTGATATAGAATTTCTTCAATTAATAAATTTGAATTAATTATTTACCTTCAGTGATTGAATTTGTTCGGAAAGCGTTAAATTTGAAGTGCTTAAAATAAAAATTAATGTTGAATTTTTAGGATTAACTACAAAACTGGAAATTGATAAAACGAAATTTGATAAATTTTTTATAAAAATTAAAATACAATTCTTCAAAAATGAATTTTCTAACAAAACTTCACTAATACTGATTTATTATTATAGATATGAGTTGTGAATAAATTAGAAATAATGATGCAAATTTTTATTTTCAACTGCTTTCCTCAATTAACATTTAAAGATTTGAATCATTTTTTAAGCTTAAGCACTTAAAAATGACATTTAAAGCTATAATTTTTTAAAAAGAGTTCTGATATAATATTGCTAGAATTAAATTTTTAATTTTTTTTGGAGGGAATTAATTTTTCCATTTCAACAAATATCATTACATTAAAGTACTTATAGTCAATATGATGCATTTTTAATAAGTAATAATCTTTTTGTTTGAATGTTTTAATATATAAAGAATAACTCAATTAGAAATTCAATTCAAGTAAAGTTAATAAAATAAGTACCTTAATGGACACTTAGTTCTTTGGACCAATTTTGTAGTTAATCCTAAAAATTCAACTTTAAGTTTTAATTAAGAACCATTTATAAGCAATTGTTTGCAGATTTATACTTTCACAAGTAATAGTTTTACTTTAAAAATAAATAAACTGTTGAAGCAAATTTTTATTGAAAATTTATGTAAGCATTTGAAACTTGTTCAAAATAATTCAAAAACAAATCAGTAGTTTGAACTTTTAAATTCAATTTTATCAGTTCTGCAAAAAATTTTGAAGTATTCAAAATAAATCATAAAAATTGATTCAAAAATTAAATTAAATTAAATTAACGATATAAATTCTAGCATTAAGCAACCTTGATCACTTGCTACCGCTACCATTTTTTGTTTATTATTTTCGGATTTTTTACCACCGATAATCGATGAATCTGAAAAATCGCCAAATCATGAATAAAAATTTTAAATTTTTCAGAAAAGTAAAATAAAAATTACAAATTTTTATTATAATTTTCAACTGAATAACACATTATTATAAATATAAATTTGTCGCTATACATATTACTACGATAAAATTATTCATAATCTTTACATTAATGCTTATTGTGAAAAAAATATTTATACACAAAAAGATAAAAATAGATTTCTATTTACAAAATTAAAACTTC